TCGTTGACCCAGGAGTTGTTTTGCATCGTGCTGTTTAGTGTCCATGTCTTTGTGGGTTTTGGGGGAACTTTGTTGGTGTCAATGTTTATTTTTATTCCACTGTGGTCCGAGAAGGTGCATGGTAGACTTTCGGTCCTTTTAAATTTGCTTATGCTTGATTTATGGCCGAGTATGTGGTCGATCTTAGAATAGTGTTGGTGATGAGTAGAATGTGTATTCTGTGGTCTTTGGATGGAGTGTTCTGTATGTATCAATTAAGTCCATTTGGTCCAAAGTCACATTGAGGTTCCGGATCTCCTTGCTGATTTTTTGTCCTGATGATCTGTCTAGGGTTGTGAGTGGGGTATTAAAGTCCCCAGTTACGATAGTGTTAGAGTCAATATCTTTCTTTAGTTTTCCACGAAGTTGCTTTATGAAAGTTGGCGCACCTATATTGGGTGCATATATGTTTAGGATAGATAGTTCTTGTTGATGGATTGAGCCTTTTATCATTATATAGTGGCCTTCTGTATCTTTTTTGATTTTTAATAGCTTGAAGGGTATTTTGTCTGAAATTAAGATCACTACTCCTCCTTTCTTTTGTATTCCGTTCATATGAAAGTTTGTTTCCCATCCTCTTACTTTGAGTCTGTAGGTCTCCTTTCTAGTGAGGTGAGTCTCTTGAAGGCAATAGATTGTTGCCTGATGATATTTTATCCATTTTGCCATTCTATGTCTTTTCAGTGGTGCATTTAGTCCGTTCACATTTAGGCTAATAATTGAAATGCAAGAGTTGATCCCTGTCATAAGGTTCTTACAGAGTTGTTCCTGTTTATTTGTTGTCTTTCTTTGGTTTTGGAGTTGGTTCATGTGTGTTTTTAATCTTTTGCCTGTACTCTTGTGAAGAATGCTGTTGTTCTTTTTTCTTTTTCTTCTGTATTCAGTACTTTCTTAAGTGTTTCTTGTAGAGGTGGTCTGGTGGCAGCGTAGGTTCTTAGGGATTGGATATCTGGAAAAGATTTCAATTCTTCCTCACTAATGAAGCTTAGTTTGGCTGGGTAGGTTATTCTTGGTTGAAATTGTTTCTCTTTTAGAACCTTGAAGATAGGGCTCCAGGGTCTCCTGGCCTGAAGGGTTTCTGTGGATAAATCTGCTGTTATTCTAATTGGTTTTCCCTGGTAGGTAGTCTGGCCTTTTTCTCTTGCTGCCTTTAGGATTTTTCCTTTTATAGCTACTTTGTTTAGGCGAATTATTATGTGTCTAGGAGTTGGTCTTCTCATTTGTTGACTTGCAGGGGTTCTCTGAATCTCTTGTGTTTGAATTTTTTCATCCTTAATGAGATGAGGGAAGTTTTCTTGAATGATTTCATGAAATGTTTGTTCCAGTGTGGCTTCTGTTTCTCTCTCTGCCTCAGGAGCCCAATTACTCTTAGGTTTGGTCTCTTGAAGTGATCATTCATCTCTTGCAGGTTTTGTTCTGTCTTTTTGAGCTTCTTTTCTATGCTTTTGACAGTTTGGGTTAGTTTTGTGTTTTGGTCTTCGAGCTCTGAGATTCCTTCTTCTGCTTGGCTGATTCTGCTTTCCATGCTTATTAGTCTGTTGTTCATATCCATCACAGTATTCTTTACTGCTGTCATTTCTGATATCAGCTCCTTCCTATTTTCCTCTTGTCTCTCCTCAATTTTTTAAATTCTCTCCATTAATGTCTTGATGTCTGGGTTTGTTGCATGTAACCAGTTATTCTGGGGGCTCTTCATTGTTTGTGTTCCAGAATCTGTTTTCTCAGTGTCTGATCTCCCAGGGGTCTGTGTGAGACCTATATTCTTCTTTTGATTTTTCTTCATTTGTGTGGTTTTTTTCCCCTCCCTACTTTTTTCTTCCCTCCACGTCACCGTCTTCTTTAATTCTGTTATTCAGGGGTAAAGGAATTGGTTTTACTTCTGTTTGTTCAATCTCCTATTCTTTATGTATGCCCTCTTACTTTGTTCAATTCTGGAGTTGCACTGTAGGTTGGAGGTGGTCCTTTTTGCGGTTTTGAGATTTACTTAAGGGGGGAGCTGTTATTCAAAATCTATCTGCAGGTCCTGGTATTCGCTGACAGGTGTGTGGATAATGTGGAACCCACTTCCCACTGCCCTGGAATCTGTCCATGCAGTGGGGCTGTAGGTTTACTCCCTGAAATAAAATGTGGTTAGCAGAGGGGAGAGAATGGAGCAGATAGTGGGTTGAAGAGGGGTGTGGAGAGATAGTGGAGTAAGGGGGGAAACAAACGCGTGTGCCAAAAAATAGAGAGAGAGGCCTATACTGAAACAGATAAAAATAATAGACCACAGCTACAGATGAACCTACTCTCATACAAAAAATAAAAAATAAAAATAAAACATAGTGATGCTAACATACAAGCTAACCAACCACCTTGTTAGTGTACTGTTCCTCTATACAAAGATATGGTTTCCAGAGAGAAGAAAAGAAAAGAAAAGGAAGAGGAAAAAAGAAAAAAGAGAACAATACAGTAGGAATAGGATTAAGTCATTAAACTAATAGAATCAATGAAGCACACTCTGAGACATTTCGTTTAAGTCCAGTGTCCTTTCAGGTCTGATTTCTAGTTTTCTTTTCAAGCTAGTAAATTAGTTTGCAGTTAGGGTCAGTTGCCCCTGGTCTACTGTGAAGGACAGTTCAGTCACCCTCTATTCCCCACTCTGGTCTATGTCTTTATCAAGCTTGTTTCTCCCATTTCGGTGTTGTTACCTTGAATCGCCAGCAGGTGGTGCTATCTCAGCTGCTCGTCCCAGAGGGGTTGGGGCTGGACAGGAACAAGATGGTTGCCTGCCTCAGGGCAGACAACAGGAGACTTAAGACGAGTGGGCAGGACGTCTCCGTCACAGGAGAGGTGGCAGCGATCCCAGCAGATCTTCTCTGCAGGGGCTTGAAGTGGATTGCCTCCGGCCCGGGTGGTGCAATGTGCTATGGCCATCACGGAGGCCGCTGCGGTGGTGGGGGGGGTGGCTGCGGTGGCAGCGGCGGCACCATTTGCACTGCAGTGACTGTCCAGTCCATTGCGATGCCCCAGCGGTGGCAACGGCCAAGCTCCGTGTGAAGAGCAGGTTGCAATGTTGGAGTCCACAGACCCCCCGGGGTGAGAGTCAGAGACCCACTGCAGATCTCCTTTGCAGAGGGTTTCACAGACCGGGTTGCCCTGTCGCCATCTTGCCGCTTCTCCCTATGCTATATTTTTTATTCATTATTTCTGATTAGCAAACATCCAATCTTCACAACAAACATTACATTTAAATATTATTGCCTAATTTGAGATAAGCACAATATGTCTGAGGAAAGTGAGCACCCTGTGCAAGGTCTGATTCTGTGGAAGTGGCATTCACATTTTTCTATAAACTGGTATCAAGCTACTGGCCAGTGCTCCTCATATCTGAGCCCTACTCTTGTTTCTACCTACATATTTGTGTCACACGCTGATGGAGATAAGCTGGTCCAGTTGGTCAATAGGGCTGTGTGTTACACTTAAATAATGCACAGTTCATCTTACCAACACAGCAACCCTCTAAGGACCTGTTATCAATGGGAGACTGTCACTCATATGGGTATTTTCAACAAATATTAGGATGAGAAAAAAGTCTAGAAACACTGCCTATCAAAAATTACTTATTCTTCAGATGCACCCTCTGCTCTCCACTGATGTGTTTTTGCTCATTTATTTTTCAGACAAAGCACTTGCATGGTGCGAGTACTAAGTAAATGTAGGAATATTATGAGTTTTATTATTGAGTGCCTGAAAATATGCCAGGCACCTTTCAGTGACCTTTACATAATTTATATCATTTAGTTCAGTGAAAACCCAGTGAAATGAACATTATCATCAATACCCCTTTTATAATGAGGAAATTGAGACCCAAAGATATTAAAATACTTTCTTAGATTCCAGCTACTATGAAATAAAGGGAGTGGGATTTTAACCAGTGCCCTTTCCATTCCATAATCATGAGTTATTACAATGATTACTGCTTCTCATCTTATGCCTCTCTGGAGACTCTGGGGCTCGAAGTTTCCTCTGTGTCCATGGCCATCTCCATTTCTTGATTGCATCTGATATTAGAGCAATAACAGTGTCTGCTGAGGATAATGGAGCCCTATCAGTTCCTCTTTTAAATATTTTTTTCTATTAACAAATTATGAAATACACATTTATCTTTTCAGCCTTTTTCTAGATCTAACTAAAAAGGTATAACCTAGAACAAAGTTTAAAGAAATGTAACCCATTAATGTAATGTGACACCTTCCCACTAGATTTTGCTCGTTGTTATTATCAATCAAAACATATTGCCAGGTTTTTTCAGTATATCCATTCTCTCTATAAGTATATATTCAGAAGTAAATTAATATATAATTTTCCATGGCTTCTAAATTGCCTCTCTAAATTTAAGCCTTCCAAATAATTGCATGTGAAAGCTTGCTTATATCATTCCATAACTCCATTAAATAGCTTAAAATTAGCTCATTGTCATGATTTTTCCAGCTAGGATATTTTGTGATCTTGTGTCCTGAACTCTTTTAACTCCAATAAAGCTTCTTGGTAATTCCTTTACCAGGTAGAGTAGAAAAGGCTCTTCATACTAACTCTTATTATTCAAATGAACTAAAAAGAATACAGTCTAATGCACTATTTTATCCCCCCAACTGGATGCTCTGTGTCCCACACCCTTCAGACTCCTCTTCCTTTCTAATAAGTGATTAGCAGTGCTACTTTTCTTTGGTAAAATTAAAGTTATACAAGGCTCCCCCAGATCTGCTTTTAACAGCAAACACTTAAAAGAGATTGTTTTTAATAATTTCTTCTGAGTAATTTTACAATTTGAAAATAATTAAAGAACAAAAAGTCAGAAGGTCTCAGAGAAAATGAATTTGCTATTAGGCATCATGATAAACTGTGTAATCCACAAATATTACAAGAATTTTTAGATTTTGAGCCATCAAACTAAACACCTACTGTCATGTTTTACATAGATTCTGGCTAGCAGTGGAGGACCTGAAGAAAAGGCCTATTAAAGAAGTACCCTCGCGAGTTCAGGAAATATGGCAAGAATTTCTGGCTCCAGGAGCCCCCAGTGCCATTAACTTGGATTCTAAGAGTTATGACAAAACTACACAGAATGTGAAGGAACCTGGACGATACACCTTTGAAGATGCTCAGGTGAGAACACGGTGACCTCACATCACAAGCATGATACTGAGAAGTTGACAGTGAAGATACTTTAGTTTTATTTTTATTATAATTGCCAGCTGCTTCTAACATTTTCAGTGTAGGCAACTATGTAAAATGACTGAGCCAAGAATGAACAAAGGCTCTTTAAAGTGAAGTTTTTTAAAGCCTAGAAATGTTTTCTAACTTTAAATATTTCTTATATGAGAATTTTATGTAGAGGTATATTTGAAATATTTGAAAATTTTTACCTCATTTTATAAACGGTTTGTCCCTCAATATGTGAGCAAATGTTATCTAATGATGACTTAATCTCAGTAATGCATTTAAAATCTTTATGATGTCTTCAATATGGAAATTCTAAGATTAACATTCCTAAGTTACTATTTATTACAAATTGTCAAAACAGTATTGGCTTAAAATTATGTCAAATGCAAACCAGTTTTGTCTCTGGTGAAAAAAATGAAATAGTAGATTAGACGTTTATTAATTTTTCAAGTAAATTTTTTAGCCTCTGGAAAGTAAAAAAAGAAAACTGGTTTTAACTTGCTAAGATAAAATTAGAATTTTTTTTTTCTCAAACTGGACCTTCTCAGAAATGATTTGAATTTCTGCTTTCTCTCAAAAAATATTGGTGTTCAAAGAGAAAAATAAACGTGTAATGTGGATATAGTGTTTCCTAATGATGTGTTGAAGTTGGCTTTTAAATCAGAACATGCATACTTCATGATTTCTTAAAATTTTTTAGAGAAGAATATTATCTCTAAAAAATCTTGTTTTGTAATAAAAATATTACAAAAATGAACTATTGAAGATAAAAATGAGATACACAATATTCTTTCTTATTTCCACTCTTTAGAAAATGTGTTTCTCCTTGGCTTTGGTTTAAAGAAATGAGTGATTGTGTAGAAAACTAACACAGGTTTAAGAGCTAACCAGACACCCATCCCCCCTGGTTCAGCCATGGTCTCCTATGTAGAAATAATTGCATTCTACAGAGACACATGACAGGGAGCGAGATTAAAAATTGCACCCCTACTGCTCACTTCTCTGTTGATTTTTCTTTCTTTCAGTTCAAGATAAAATGTCAAGCATTTTACTAGAATTAACAATATGTAAAAAGTTTGGAATGACCTTCCAGATGGCATTCCAAAGAACATTGCCTTATCTGTGTCATTTAAAAATATTCTTCCTTAACAGGGTCCTCAATCAATTAAAAATATATATATTTTCTGTAGAAAACATTATCACCTGACTGTTGTTTTTTGCTTTTGTTTGTTTCAATTAAGCTCAGATATTTAACTCCACGTGTTATAGTTTTTTAAAGGTCCTACATTCATGGATATAACAATAGAAATTCCTTGCCACAGTTTGAGAAAGAGATACAATGTAGTGGTTAAGAAAGCAGTTTCTGGAGCTCAACTGTCTGGGTTCTGATTTGAGCTCTGCTCTGTGACCTCTTTCAAGTACCTCACTTCTCTATGACTGTTTCTTCATGTGTAATATGAAGAATCACCAACCATATTGGGGTTTTATGAGAATTAAATTAACTAACATAGGCAACTATTTAAAAGAGTACCCGGCATATACTCAAGTATATTTAAGCAATTACTTCTATGTACACCCCATACTCTGCTAAATATTTATTCTTCCTCTAATCCTTACAACACTATTTTATAAGTTAAAGAATTAAGAATCAGAGAGATGAATGAATTGGTCTAAACTCCAAAGCCAGACATTGTTCCACTTTTCAAACAAATTCTGATAAAGGTCCAAACTTAGTCTTATTCCGGATGATTACTCAATCTTGACTTCTCATCATCCACTTTTGGCTGGAGGTAATTTTAAGTGATAGCAGATTTATTTATATGCTTAAAAGACCTATATCAATCAACAACTTGATTTGAAATTATTTTATGACATTCTGTTTCCAAATTCCATTTTTTAATGACTAGCTGTGACCTACCACCTCAGTACTTCCCAAACCAATTTAAACATTGATCCATGAATATGATAATGAATTGGAAGACCTAAATGTCCTGTAAACATAAAGTATTTGCATCGACTTTACTATTTTTAACTACTACCAGATTATTGAACCACATGTAATATCATTATCATAGTATCTTACTTTTCCCAAGAAATAATAAAGAAGCATCTCAATCATTATTTCTTTTTAGGAGCACATTTACAAACTGATGAAAAGCGATTCATACCCACGTTTTATAAGATCCAGTGCCTATCAGGAACTTCTACAGGCAAAGAAAAAGGTATTGGGTTTTTGTGACTTTTTTTGAGCTAGTTGTCAGTTATAGTTATTTGGAGTAATTACCTCTGCTGAGCCCAGAGTATCGGATAAATGGTAAGTGAACATACTCCAAGACCCTTCCCCAAACCTTTGCATTTTATAAGGGCCATTTAAGTTGTTTTTGTTTGTTTATTGCTTATTGTATTATTTTTGTTTGTTTGTTTCTGCAGATGTCCATGCTTTACAAAGTTTATTAGAAGCTGCTTTCATGTTTTATGTTAGTCTTCTGTATGCCTACTTTAAGAAAATCAAGAACTCCACTAAAGAAAAAAAGGAACAATGTCATTAAGACAAAAGCTTGAAGAGAGTTTTCCTTGTATAGTAAGCTAGAATGTATATTTTGTATTGCAGACTCATAACTAAAAATAGACATAACTATTTCGATGATAACTGCCAAAACGGAGGAATGTTTGCTTCTGAATATTTTCATTTGGCACCTGTCCTGAATCACTTAGTATCCTTACGATGTTAATTTTACACACCTAAAATGATAGCCACACATGTGGAGCATTGTAGTAGACTCATTATTCAATTAATGTTTATAATCAAAGTCTCACTGTTCGTAAATTCTTTTGTAATCAATGTAACAGGGGAGAGAAAATCTAGACATAAACATTAACATCATTAATTAATTTTAAATGTTGAAATAGTCCATAGATTCTTGAAATTCTGAGATTAAGTTATAGTTTTGTGTAATTCATGATCATCATTTATTCTAATGGGATTTTTGAAAGTCCGTTGCCTGTAGAAATTGCTAGAATAACTAGAAATGGCAACTCTGTAGTAATACTACCCAATACAGCAGCCTATAGCCACAGGGGCTGTTTAAATTTTAATTTTAATGAATTAAAGTTGCATAAAATTCTAGCTAGATTTCAAGTGCTCAATGACTTGAACATTAGCAGTAGCTAGCAGCTTCTATACTTGACAGTATATAATGAAATTTCCATCCTTTCAGAAAGTTCTGTTAGATAGCAATGCACTATAGAATTAACGATGTTATAAACAGAAATTTAGCCCTGCTAGAAAATTATGAGAAAATTCTGAGGCTATGCCACTAGGTTTTTAAATATTTAGACTTTGCAAACAGCAGTAGGAAAGCTTCACATATCAACTTCATTTCAGCTTAATTTGATTTTGCTTGAAGTCACACCATTTTGTTTGTACGAGAACAGTTTTTGTTGTTAGCACTAATGAAAACAGGGCCATGTCCTGTGACAAGATGCCTTCCTTGGAAGCTCTCCCACCTTCGTGGGCCCTGTGATTTAGAACATGATTTGGTGTTGCATCATTTCATCATCCTGTCTTTTTCTGCTCTATTTTCCTTGCTTTCTTTCTTTCTTCTTTTTTTTTTGTAATGTTCCCTTATTTCCCTTCACCCCACCCCACCCCACACATGTAAGTCTGGAAACTCAATGGATCGCAGAACATCTTTTGAGAAATTTGCACAGAATGTGGTAAGTTTTATTTTTTGAGGAATTACAAATAATTAAATCAATGAAATTTTCCCAATTTTCCTATTTTTAGCCCCATTGCCCACCTTCCATTCTTTGATGTAATAGCGAAAATGTTGTTTTTTAACAACATTTGTAAAATTTAAAACTTCATGTTTCCTTCTTATCCTTCTGCCCCATTCCTTTCTAGAGTAGAAGAAGATGCTATACATGAACCGCTACATGTATAGAACTCAGGTTTGAAATAAGTGTTTATTATGATATATAAAATGAAGAAATAACAATTATTCTTTATATTTTTATTTTTATTCCACTTGTCCCTTTCTTGGTTAAAGATAGTGCATGTATTTCTATGCTCTTTCCCTAGTTCATCCTTAGGTTTAAAAGATTAAGAACAAGGGTTCTCTGCTTTCTACTCCTGCAGGGAGAAAGTGATCTATTGATCAGCTTAAAGTCAAAGACTTGATATGAATGGTGCTCAGTGACAAAATATGCCCCACCAAAAGCCCACTAGCATGCCTCTCTTATTCTTTATTTTTCAGGAAAGTGTTGAAAACTGTTTGCATAAATCATATGGAAAACCAACAGTTTTCCTACCAGTGTTTTCTTAGTATCTGCCATGTGTTTTGATGATATATATTTGTTTGTGGGATTCTTTTTTTTTTTTTCCTTCTTTTTTTTGTATTGTGCCAGTGCCTTTGGAACTTTCTGACATTGTGAAAGCTCAAACTAAAGCCTTCAACACATTTATTTTTATAGGGCAGAAACATCCCTATTTTCCCATGCCATAAAAACTGTACACCAACACTGAGGGCCAGCACTAACCTGTTATGAAAAGAGGTAGAAAAATCTTGGTTTATACTCAAGTTTGTCTGCATTGTCTGTTGAGTTGTGTGGTTAGCTCCATGCTGCTGTGTGTGTATGTATGTTGTGGCTTTTGCTGTGATGGCCAGTTAAGTGGAGTTATGTGTGTTGAAATGTAAGCAAACTGGATTCAACAAAGATATGGTTTTTGTTTTCAGTTTCCTTCAAGGATCCTTGTGGTGGGGAATGTGAATTAGTTTTACTTTTGAATGACCATTGTGACTGTACACAGAGTATTTGAAAGACTTTCAATGGTGATATGTACTTTGAACATTCAGTGAGACTGTATGAATTAAAGGGATGGAGAATGAAGGATACCAGGAATTAATTACATAACAAACTTTACAAAATTTTGGCTGACACTAGTAGAATCTCTGTCCTTTAACATAGAATTTTCTTAAACATGCCTCATAAAATCACCATGAGGTGATAAATACAATGTCAAAGAAATTCCCCAAGATTTTTTGGATAAAATGGCTGTCAGATACTGTAAGGTACTCTGTGTATTGTTCAAAAATTGTTTCAAATTCATTATTTTCTAACATGATGCAGACAGAATATTGTTCTTGAGATTGGAATGGACATTTCTATGATGTAGTTAAAAATAGTAATGCAACCTGAGGAAGATGGAAAATGAAGCCAAATGGCTGTCTTTCCTCCAAAACCATCCCCAAGTCTAATCCACTTGTCCAGCTTTTAAAATAGCACCACAATGTCACACACTGTACATTTTAAGAAAAAATAAATAGGAAATAAGAGGAAGAGAAGATTGATCATCCACATCTCCTATCAAAATTCATACATGTGCCACCTATAATCCAAACATTGTGCAATGTCTTGGGACCACATAGAAGATATAGATCTTGATTGCAAAAGTACCTAATGGTATAAGCAAAATATTAGAATGTATAAGGGAAAGATAAACTCTTCCTACTCTTTGTTAGGGTGAAGAGGGAGGGCCCACATATAATCTGAGAACTCCCAGAAAAAGTGACATATAACTGGATACATAGGATTTCACTAGGCCAAGAAGGGCAATTACCCTCTTAAGGAAAATTTTTTTTAAAGCTGGAATTACTGAAGGAAAAGAAGTTGAGTAACATTCTCACACATACACAAACACAAATATACACACACATACACATATACTATAGTAGTAACTTTCAGACACAATGGTTTAGTGTTATTTACCATCCAGAAAAATAAAATGTAATCGTTTCACTGAATACTTTGTTTTGGTATTACTCTGAATAAATAAGGTAAGGAAATTAGAAAGGGTCTCTGAATTTACACTTTATTCAGTGTTTCTCTATATTATCATAACTTTAAGGGTCAGCAGTTATATCAGGTATCCTAAGAATTTACATACTAAATTTTGTGGGACTCTGTTATAGGATCAACAAAATAATTTTAACATAAAGAATGAGTGATTTTATTGTAATCAGATAGACTTAATCAAAATGGAGTTTACACAAAAATCTTGAAGTAATCCTGTGTGCAGGCTGCTCTAGTAGATACAGAGAATTTACAAGGTTGATGGTATCCAAGAAAGAAATAGAATAGGGAAAATAGGTAAACAAGTAAGTAGACTATGAAAGGAACTAGGGAAAATAAGATAGTAACAACTCACATTCAATACCTGCCATGTACCAGGTTCTGCACTGAGCATTTCATAACATTATCTAATTTAATTTAATCCATATGCTGACCCTGTGAAGTAGGTATTATTATACCCTTTTTTTAAAGACCCATTCTGTGAGTAAGAAATCAGAAGGGTCAGAGGAGGTACACAATTTGTCCAGTATTACATAGTTAGTGAAAGAGCTGACACTGTTCCAAAATATGTTTTGTTCCCCAATTCTATTTTCACAGATTCATCCTTCTTCATTTTCTTCCAACTGATTTTTTTTCTTGCCACCTGATGATACCTTCCTCTCCAGTCTGAGTTCATATCCAGTTCATGCCTGTTTATTTATTTAGTTAGTACATGTTCCAGCCTAACATTTTTATAACCTAGGTTGTAAAAATGTCATCACAGGTTTTGTTTCACCCCAGAGTCAAAAATGTTTCATTAACCAACTTTTTCCAACCCCAATGGAACGTCCATTAGTTACTCAGACTAATAAACTCTTGCTGGTGCTTTAGAGAGGCATTATAATTAATATGTAAGGATCACACTGTATTTTCAATCTTCCAGGGACATCCTTTCCTTTTTGTTTTCTTTTGTTGTTATTGTTGTCGTTTACATGCACAACAATCCTGGGAGGTAATCAGGCAGGTATTAACTCTTTTTGACAAATGAAAAAATGAAGGAATAGGGTGGTAAGGTCACTTCACCAATATCACTCAGTTGAGTGTTAGAGTACTGCTAAGCAAAATATTATTTTACTTTCAATTCATTATTTGACTTATGCCTGTAATTCTAGCACTGTGGGAGCCCAAGCAGGAGGATCACTTAAGGCCAGGAGTTTGAGACCAGTTCTGGGCAACATAGTGAGACCCTGCCTCTACAAAAAAATTTAAAAATAAAAAAAGAAAGAAATTCATTACTCATTATTGATTACTTTTATTCTTTCCATTGTGCCCCAAACGGGTAGGATTAGAATAACTCACATTTGTGTAATGCCTTTACCTTGGCTCATTGTCCCAAGAAACTTTGTTTCCAGTTATTTACTCTTTTATCATTTCTTAAATTTTTCTTCCTATCAAATAAATCTTTTAAGGTCGATCTTTAAGATTTACTATGCCCTCTTGTGCCTTTAAGTGTTATTCTTAGTAATTGACTTTATTTTCTTTTGACAAAGTTCATATTCTTTATTAAATGTAAATATCGTTTTCTTCCTCCATTACCGTTGTCAAACATGACACCGTTTCTTCAGCCATTAAAATGTAGCATCTGTCTGCCACCTTACAGAGGGACAGATTAAAAAATAGAAGGAAAACAGTAGGAGGATTGATCAACCGCACCTTCAATCAAGATTCTTAAATCAAATACTGACTATGTGGCTTTAGTTTGTATGAAGTGGAAGTCATATCAGCCTGACTCTGGGCTAGAAAAGTAGAAATGAATATTAGGGACTGTTAAAGTGGAACTCTGAAGAGTTCACCTAATCTAACCTCTTTTGGGAAATTTGTTTCACCCTATCTTTATGAAGATAATGGTCTACAGAGGCTTTAAGAGAGGCAGTGGCCAGTGGATTACCTGAACCTGCGGGTTCAAGACCCAGCCGGGTAACTTGGCTAGACCTCGTCTCTACAATAAATCAAAAATTAGCCAGGTGTGGTAGCACGCGCTTGTGGTTCCGGCTACTTGGAAGGCTTAGCTGGAAGGATCGCCGGAGCCCAGCAGGTCGAGGCTGCAGTGACCGGGAGTGTGTCACTGCACTCCAGTCTGGGCGACAGAGTGGGACTCCAACTCAAAAAAAAAAAAAAGTCAATAGAAAAGACATGACTGCCCCCTGGGTTCTTCCATCCCCTCTGCCCTGGTGTACTTAGGCTGGTGCGTTGAGCTCTTCTGCTGTGCTCTGGAGACAGTAATGTATGCTCAGGAGAAGTCTGGAGACTCCATGAGAGAATGTTAACAGAGGGAATGGGCTGGCTCTGAAATCAGTTGATTTTTCGGGATCAAATCTATATTTAACACTATAACTCAACAGATTAAATGTTGATAGGGACAAACATGAATATAAACCACGTAACTTACTGGAAGTATTAAAAATGAGAAAGACAAAATACATAGATCTTTTTGGTTAAATAGAATTAAACTCTTTATTTAAGCCCATAATGGAGTCGCTCATTAATACAGCCTTATGCAATTTGCATATAAGCAGTAAAATGTGGTAGAAAGAGCCTGGACCAGGGAGTTTGATGTGTTTATATTTAGGTTGGAAACCTAATCTTTTCTTGCCATATGAATTTTCTAAAATCATTTAAATTTCTGAAGCTCAGTTTCTTCATCTATAGAGGAATCTATCTGCCCAGACATAGCTTCAATTAGCACTTTGTGCAAATATATATAAATATTTAAGAAATGGAATTATATTTAAATATTCTTTTGAAGCATGTTTTATTCAATTAAAATACATTGTAAGTGTCTTACAGGTTATTTAATATTCTTTTACATGATTCTATTTATTAATCATTCAAAATTCCTTTGAATGGATATACTCTGTAATGCATTTTTATAATCCTCTATTGATGGACATTTATGCTGTACCTTATTTATTTATTCATTGCTATTATAGATAAAGTATGATAAACCTCCAGGCTAAGTATTGATTTTCTTCTCATATAATACAAAATTGAACTGCTTGGTTAAATGTAATGCAAATTTAAAAGGGAAGAGGAATCTACTTCTCTCTTTTTCATTCCCTTTTATCTTTATTTTTTCCCTAAGAACATGCACTAAAAATAACTTATTCTGCGGGAATCAGATGTTATATTACTAATTCCTAAAACCACTTGTGTTACACAGTAATGAGAAACCTCCCCTACTAATTGACCCTCAGTTTGTGAAGAAATGTAGTCACTTTTTGGGAGGTTTACATTGCTTTCAAGACACTGTCAAAGACTCTAAGAATTGTTTCTAATCCCTGTTTGAATGATTTTAACTTGGTTTTTATAAAATGTAAACTCTAGTGTGAAATTTTCCTTACATGCTCTAACAACTACTAAGACTGTAAACTGGAAGGAAGCCACCCTTTCCACCCAGTGTAACTCTATGAATACACTAGAAGACAGGTTTGGGAAATACAGCCCAGCCTTACTAGAGAGCCATGTTCAAAGCAGAGCAGTGCAGTGTGAGGTCCACTTGTGCCATCCCTCAGCTGACCGTTCCTGGCATATTTGGGCTGGACTTTGGTTCTGTTTAAGATTGAGCCATGTCACTCCTGATTGAGACTTCTGGACTTTGCTGCTTGGGCTTACAGCCACGTTTGTGTAAATAAGCTTTGTTGGAAAGGATCCCAGAGTACCTA